CATGAGACGGAATTGCATCCACTTCGTGTCACAGTGTGGTGTGCAATTTCATCACGCTGCATTGTTGGGCCCTACTTCTTCGAAGAAAACGGTCACACCGTTACGGTTACTGGAGACCGTTACTTGAGCATGTTCAGAGAGTTTTTCTATCTAGAATTACGCCGAATGAGAATTTCTTTCAACTCTGTGTGGTTTCAGCAAGCTGGTGCAGCTCCTCACATCGCCCAACCTGTTACGACAAAATTGCGACGAAAATTTCCCAATAAGCTGATATCCAGAAACGACACATTCCGTTGGCCACCCAGGTCGCCTGACCTTACTGCACCTGACTTTTTTCTTGTGGGGTTATTGCAAACAGGAAGTCTACAAAGCAAAACCAAAAAATTTGAATGAACTAAGGCGATCCATTCGAGAAACAATTGCGGCTATTCCTGTCTCAACTCTTCAAGCAGTAATGAACAACTTTTTGGTAAGATGCCTCATATGCATCAACGAGCAGGGGGGCATTTAAATTCCATTATTTTTAAAACTAATTAAGGTATATTTAATAAAATTGAATGAACTTTAACATGAATAAAAGAAAAATGAATTCCATACACTGAAAAACAAATTATTTGAGTTTCTTAATGTAGCAAAATTCATCAGCCACCAAAAACACAAAATCTCAAAAACAAAACGTTCCACAAAACATACACAACTTGTGAGAACCATATAAAATACATATTAACATATAAATATTACTACACACACATAGGCAATTATCCGGCAATACCTTTTGTTCTTTAATAAACAGAAACTAACAGGAATGCGTACAAAACAGTTAATTGATCTGTTTAACGAGCTCTCAATTGTTAAGACCAAAAGCATAATCATAAATACATACAAATATTTTGTGTAAACTAATGTAAAAAAAGCGCATTGATCTCTTCAAACGAAATACATAGTAACTAACAATTTAAACATTAATTGAAAATTAAGTATAAATAAAAATTACATTATTGCATTTAAATACAAACCGATATTATTAAAAGGAATTTAAAAATTACTAATAACTACACAAATCAAAATACACCTACAGGAGCTACACGGTCAAAGCAGGTTGCTCAGTTCATTCCAGAAATTGACAATTTAACAAGATACTATACTACATTTTCCGACTCACAGATTCAAGAAAACTCTGAATCGTTATTAGAAATAAAAAGCCAAAATCTTAAAAAATTTCGGACTCATGACGCCATTGTAGATTCTGACGACTCAGATCTACCACACAATTTTAAATCTTCGGCTTATGCAATATACGAAAACTTCTTAGACCAGTACGAAGAAACAAGAGCTATGATATAAAAGCAACTGCACCACATCGAGGTGCCCGCATGTGACAAAGAAACATTTCATGCAGGTTATGAAGAATGGTCGTCCTTTTGGGGTATATTTATAGCCGTTTATATCAACCATCCAGAATTATCAAAGGCACAAAAATTTTATCACCTCCAACACAGAACAAAAGGTCAACCAGGTGACATAGCCAAGCAGTTCGCATAAGATGATGATAATTTCAATTTGGGAAGCTCTAAAAGCTAGATATGAAAACGAAAGAATACTGGTCGATAAAAAAGTAACGACACTAATGAACTTGCCAAAAATTAAGATAGAAACAAGTGTAGGATTCATCAAACTAGAATCCACTGTTTCAAATTGTTTGTCACACAGACAATTTTGACGAACTCACAGACATAAAAATAACCCCACGTGGCAAGAAATGAAAGAATTTCTCACTAGCCAGTATGAAATTGCGGAAAGAGTAGAAGAAAAAATATTATAGTCAGAGCAAAACAATTCAACACCACCTCAATATAAGCTTCAATAGGCCCCAAGCTAGAAGCAAAAACAAACCAGACAGAATTTTTAACAAATAACAATCGTTCACACCCGAAGAAAGAAAACATACGTCATAACAACAACATATGTAAAGAATCCGTAAACTTACATCTTGCGAGAGGTTTAAAAACTCAAAAGTTAACGAACGAAATAATTTTTTCAGGTCAAAAATAAATTAAATTTTAAGTTGATCCGAAATTAGCATAATTATTCTTTAAGGTAGTATAATCGACTTGATAAACTTTAACTGTTTTTTTCTGAAACGATGTTGTAACAGTTGGGAAAATTTCCCAGAACCATCTTCGATATATTTGTCTGATTTCTCGCTCACTTCCATCCTGGAAGTTTCGATATACACTGAAGGAATAATGTCTCTAGCGGTAATATGCTCCTAATATTTGCTTTTTGGATTTAGTATAATTTTAAGCAGAATATCCCTCAATGCCAGACATTTTATCGGACGTCTTCATAGAGATCGGCTATGGAATTATTAAAATGCATTAAATGTACATTATTTTATTTATAAAATGCCTATTCCAAAGCAAAGGAAGTATGATGGCAGACCTGATATTAATTTATTTAAATGAAGGACGAAGTCTTCTTCGGAAATTGTTTGTACATTAGTTAAAGTAATCAGAAGAAACAACATCAGTTAAGCAAAATTTTTAGAATTGATACAGTAATTTTATTTTAAAAATTTATTTAACACGTTTGAAATATTGTATTTGTTACATTATATTTATATTTTATCGCGGACAGTAACTTTTAAATCCTGGATTACTTATTTGATTTTCTGCCTTATTTGTTTGACTCTTATATAATTTTTCGTTTAGAACCGAAGACTCAAAGTAATGCTGAATATTTTGGGTAATCCAAGTATACTAGTTTTTGCAAAGATAAAGATGTAGAGAAATGTAGATATTTTAAATTGTCTATATAATATTTTCTTATCGAAATGTGTGGTTTTAGCCTTGATTTCATAAAAGCAGGTATGCTAAAATTAACTTAACATAACATAAAACCCCTTAGATTTTGATAACAAATACACAGCTAATTTTTAATACTCAGTTTTTTGATAGCTAGAGTACTTAAAGTCGTCAATGATTAAATTTTAGAATTAAAATACTGTCAATTTTAAGTGCGACTAAAAATATATTAACACGATATTTATTAACAAATCAATGCAGTAAATGCAGATATTACCCTGCCAAGGCTTGTTTTCGGCGGTCTAATCCCATTTTGAACCCGATTCATGCGGCAGTTGAGTCCAACCTGCTCCTGGTAAAAGTTTACGCAATACGTAATTAACCCTAAAGAAGGCGCGCTCCGCAGAGTGACATGCATTGTCGCGCGTGAGCATTTTGCTCACGTACTGAAAATATTCAGTTACGTTTATATAAATAAAGTGTTACATATTTAAATTTAAACTAAATACCATTACTGAGCCTTAAGCTTAAAA